ATGTCTCAGCCCCGGACTAGCTGGCCAGGGTCCAGAGACACACTTGGGAAGGTTGGTCGGCACTCTAGCTACATCCTGGGCAGCCAAGGCAGAGTCCAGATTCTGCAGACTTGCTCCTACATGGCCGGCGCCTCTGAGTGCCTCTGAGCTGGTGTGGGTGAGCCCAGGGCTGACCACCTGGGGTTAGGTCCTGGGCCTATCTCCTACCTAGGGGACTCAGCCTTGGGGCCTCACTTTCCTGGCAATGATATGACCCATGGCCATGATGACAGTAAAGGAGCTTATTCACAAAAAGGACCTCAAACAGTGCCTGGAATTCAGGAAATAACACCAGTGAAGTGACGTGTATCTGCACTTCCTAACTCTACCCTAGACATCCTTGTCATTCAAGTCTCAAGCCCCCACCTCACCTGTCTCTGAGGCTGCCACTGCTGCCACTGCATCTCAAGCAGACCTCAGCTTGTATTTCTCTCTCGTGTTATTTTAGCTCCTTCCAGGGCAGGGGCTATTGTTGGTCAGAGTCACTGCTCCATGCCCAGTGCCCAGAATACTCGACATCCATGTGGGGGCTTGATCCAGCACTTACCTGCCCCCCGGGAGGGCTGGGTCCTGGGAAAGATCAGGAGGCTGAACCCCTTCCACCGTTCGGTCCTTTCTCCCCAACATACCATGTCTACTGCTGCTGCTCCTTTACACTGGCACTGTGCGGTCTTGGGTGAATCATCGCCCTTCTCTGGACAGCTGGGTGAGTGGAGGTAGATGGTTGATAGGCTGAGGCCCAAGCAACAGCCTCAGCTTTTTCTAAGACTGCTTGTTATATATCCTAGGGCTCGTGGCTATAAAGCGAAGGCATCTCAGGGCCCTCTGAGTTTTACCAATACAGCCCCTGCCTCCCCCCTGTCTTCCAGCAGCGCACCCTCCACTGTCACCACTGGGTCTCAATCCCCTGCATTGCCTTCCTCAGGACCCTTGCATAAAAACTGGGAGACCTACACTGGGGCCCTCTGTGGCTCCATTCCCCAGGGACTAGCCCGCCACCTTGTGGCAGCTTGAGTCTATCACGGTGCCAGCTCTTTCTGAATACTGATCTGCTCTCCCTCTTCTGCCAGCACTACCACGTGCACTCACAGGGCGCTTGGTCCATTTAAATGCACCGTCTGGCATCGGCTCAAAGCACCATTTCACAGTAGAGGCAGAGCAGTGGGCACGTGCCTGAAAAATCACCCACCTTACCATATACCCTTCTAGAGCACTTCACGGGCCCTCTCCATTCCAGCCTAGAGAGGACAGCTTCTTTTCAGCCTAGGTTCCTCTGCACCTTCAGAGCTTCAGGGAGGCATGGAGTCAGGTTGGGGGTTCCTGAGGACTCTTCCACACAGCTCGTAGTCCAACCCTGGGCAGGGAAAGCTTGTATTCCAAGAAACAAGCCACTTGGAATCAGACACCATCCTCTTCCCCACCCCGCCATAAAAAAAAAAAAAACTTTTAGTGTTATATTTGGGGATGTATGCCAAGAAAAGGGAGTGACTTGCTTAGAGGTACATGGCAAAAGAGCGACAGCTCTGTCCCTGTCAGCTCCGTACCCTGCCCCAGAAGTAAGCCTGGTCCTGGGGACTTGGTTCCTCTGGGCAGGGTCTCAGGGCTGAGCATCCTGTCCAACCCTCCGTGGGAGCAGAAGGCCTGATGGCAGGCACTAGGCCCAGCCTCCCCTCCCAGCTGGAGTCCTTCCCTGCCTGGGGGGCCCTCCAGTCTCCTCAGAAGCTCAGTCCCCAAGTGGGGACACCCCAGACACTCATCTCCCTGCATCATTGTCTGTCCCTTGCTGCTCTGGTCCTGATGCAACCCAACACACACTGCTCCCCCTGCCCCCTAACCCCCCCCAACAGCAGAAGGGCCCAGCTGGCCTAGGCTGGACTACATCCTCCACACTGAGACTACATCCCCAAACACTGGTCTCTTCCAGGATAAGCAAGGATTACCGTCTGGGAGCGCAGACACAAAGCGACTGGTTACTCACTGTGATTACCAGAGGCTGTCCTGCAACACTGATAGAAGGCTAAGATGTGACGATTTGTGGGGAGGCAGAGACTTTCTAGATGGGAGTCAGATGTGCCCAAGGATCTGTGTCTAGTTGGAATGTGTGTTGCGCGAAGGAGGGCAGCAAGGAAGCCCTGCCTGGGGAGGCCATGCAAGTGTGGGGGGCGAATACTAGGGGTGGGGAGAGGCAGACAGTGGAGAGGCTGGCTGGTGACAGGATGTATCAGTGTGACCTGCCACTGGCTGATGGAGGGACTGGACACTCACAGACAGTAGTATGACTCTCCACGGACATGAAGGGAGTGTCATACGTTTCACATTGTATGAGAAATTCTACTTTCAGAACATCACTAATACAGGGCCAGAGGAAAGACCCCATTTTCAGAGGTAACAATACAGATGGTTTGGATTAGTGGTTGGGCAGGAGTGCTTTTATTTTTTAAAGATTTATTTATTTAAACATACAGACCAGAGTAGTACAGACCAGAGGTGCAGGGAGGTAAGAGGATTCACCAGAGACAGAGTGGAGAGCAGAACAGGCAGATGTACTGAAATACACTGCTGAGGGGAACAGCAGGCAGGTCAGGAGAGGTCTGCCACAACATGTGGGTCATTTCCCTGGCTGGGGATTGAACTAGTGCTGCAGTGGCTGCAGACATCTTCATAGTGCTGTGATTTAAGCCGTTGCACCACCAAGGAGGGCCCATTTTATTTTATTTTTAAAGATTACTTATGCATATAAGAACTGAGGTATAGTAGGCCAGAAGTGCGGGGGTTGAGAGGATCCACCAGAGACAGAATGGAGAGCAGAACAGGGGATCCACTGAAATGCACTGTTGAGGGGAGCAGCCAGCGAGACGGGAGAGGTCTGCTGTGCCATGTGGGTCACCTCTGGGGCTGAGGATCAAACGCGCACTGAGGTGGCTGCAGCTGGCCTGCAGTGCCGTGCCCTGACCCGTTGAGCCACCAGGGAGGGCCTTTTAATTATTTCTAATGATTCGGCTGACTAATGACCAGGTTAAGTGTCTTTTGATATTTATTGATGCTTCTTGTTTTCTCTTTTGTTAAGTGACTATTTGCATCTAGTCCCCTCATGCCTGTATTTGTATATTCTGCAGAAGCATCATTTGGTTATAGATAGCTTCTCCTAGTTTGTGGCTTTTCCTGCCACTTTATTACAATGTTTTTGATTAACAGGAGGTTTTCATTTTACCATTGTTGAAAATTTTCAACCTGTTTCTTTATAGTCTACTTTTAAAAAAGTACATATCAAAGAAATTCTTCTGACCTTGAATCAGTCAAGATATTGTTTCATTCTTCAAACATCTGAAGTATTACCTTGCATATTTACATCTAGAACTTTGAATGGTGATGTGGAGGAGTAGAAGATTATTTCTTACCTTTAACCTATTTTGTTTTTTCTTAATTAAAAAATATTTATTATTATTTATTTATGCATACAAGGGCTGGCATATAGGCCAGAGGTGTGGGGGGTGGGGGTGGGGTGTGTGTGAGAGAGGATTCATCAGGGACAGAGTGGGGAACAGAACAGGCAGATGGACTGAAGCACACCGCTGAGGGAGCAGTGGGCGGGTCAGGGGAGGTCTGCTGCGCCATATGGGTCAGCTCCCTGGCCGGGTCTCCAGCTCATGCTGCTGTGGCTGCCGACAGCCTCATAGCACTGGCTTCAACCCTCTGAGCCACCAGGGAGGGCCCAGTAGTCCAAGGGCTCCTGGACATAGCAGTGTCCATGTGTGTGGGTTGGTTCTCAATTCGGTTTCATGTCCCACTTATCAGTCTCAGGCTGATAGCAGGCTGTCTGTGTCTCTTTATCTTCTTCGGGATAGAGTAGACTCAACGTAGGTTGTTATTAGGGTGTTCACTGTAAAATTCTTTCCATTTTTCTGTATGTTTGAAATTTTTCATAATATTGGGGGAAAAGGGCGCGCCCTTTCACTGTACAATTTCCACAGTAAAGGCTCAGGTTTCAAACCAAACCAGTTCCAGCAGCTGTAACCCTTGGAGAAAAGATCAAGTTGTAGGGCTGCATGCGGAACGGTCACATTCCTGTAGGATCTGAGATTACGAGCTGTGGGTGCTGGTCTACCATTGCGCCCACTTCACAGCCCAGAAAAGGGATCAGCCTGAAGACCCATTGCCTGGGCCCCAGGGAGGAGCTGTGTGCAGCCTGCGTCATCAACCAGGATCCCCAGTCGCCCCTTCAGGATCCTCGCCTCAGTCTCCCGTGTTCGCTTTCCACGCCAATTTCTGGTTCTCTGCCACCTTTTGTTTGGTCTGGTGAAGAGACGGAGGGCCAGCAGGGGTCGACCTTCGAGCCCCTGGACATCCCTCGCTCCTGCCCTTTTCAGGCCCCGACCGTGTCTCTGCCTCCCTGGGTCTCCCCCACTGTGCCCAGCCCCCCAAACTGTGAGCACCTCCTCTCCCTGACTTCCCGCGTCCTCCACGGACGCGGTCGCGGCTCCGCGTCCCCCGCTCCCGCGGCCGATGTCATAGCTCTCCGCTACCATCAGGTGGCGCACGCGGCCCTCTCTGAGTCACCGAGCGCCCACCCGCCCCCTCCGGGACCCCGCCCCGTCCGGCCGCGGCCCCGC